GATGTACGGATTGTTATAAGACCTGTAAGAGCACCCAATATAATGATTTAAATTTTTTTAAAATTTTTTAAGAAAAGAAACATGCCTGAATGACAGTGGTTGGGAAATGGTTGCAGATGAGTGAGGGGGAGAGCAGAAGGGGAAATTGTTCAGACAGATACACATCTGTCACTACCACTCTTTCACCTGACTGCCACATTCCTTATTGCTGTCTTCCCTTATCAACCAGAAGCCACCAAGAGACCATCACACTTCAGAAAGCCTCCCTATTCACCATTTTCCATTCTTCTCCAAAAACTTTGTCAATTGGTGACAAACCTCATTCTGGATGTCCGTCAACAAAAAGGTCAACCAAATTCATGCACTCATGCGTGAAGCCCGACATCGGACCATTGAAGAGAAGAGGAAGTTATCTGGACTATCATGGAGTTTAATGGAAGATTTGAGAATGAGAAGAGTCACTGTGAGATTGGTACCCTGGGTTCCAACTGACCGGGAAGTGTCAAGTGGAAACATGGCTGGCTTTGAAAGCACAACTCCAAAGCGACCCAGACTTTTTCCCCTAAGGTGACAAGATGCTATTGTTACGACCCCGAAAGCAAACATCAAGTCAGTGGAAGACACCACTGTCACCTCGCCCACAAAGAGCTCAAGTGCAAAGATCAAGACAATGTTCGTTTGTTGTTTCGTTATGAGGAAGATAGTGCACATGGCGTTCATTCTACCATGTCAGACTGTTAATCAAGCATAAGTGTGTGACATAACTATGTGACCAAAAAAAGGCCTGATTTGTGGCAGATGGGAGACTGGCTTTGCCACAACATACCTGCTCATGCAGCCGTATCAGTCTGGCAGTTTGAGGCAAAAAAACAGCATGCCTCTCTTGTCCCACCCATCTTACTCACCTGACATCGCTCCATTTGACTTTTTGCTTTTGCAAATGAAGAGGGACATGAAAGGACAGCGAATTGACAATGTAGAAAAGGTGAAGAAAATAACAAGAGGTGCTGTCAGCCATTCAAACTGATGTTTGAAAAATGTTTCCAAGAATGGAATCACAGATTTGAAAAATGGTGAGTACTTTGAAGGGGTTAAGGTTGTTTTGTAAAAAAAAGGTAAATATATTGCTTTTGGGGGGTACCCCCTGGTAAACTTAAGTGTGTGCTGGGTTTTGTAACTCTAGTAATTACAATATTTTTACATGGATGCGCCATAAACAAAGAGGAACTGACTAATCTACAATTTCCAGCTGGAGAAAGACATGAGATTCATGACTGGAAAGCTGAATTATGTAGCTGCAGCCCCTAAGCCCTGCTTTCTATTACTAATCTCTGATTTAGGAGATAACCAGATAATATTGATGTAAAACTGTTTAAAGCAACAAACTTTGTGTATCACTACTGTTAATAAAACACACAAGTGAGAAACCTGAAGAATGTTTTGAATAGTCATGTACACTGTCTACCAGATTCACTCTGTGCTACACACACAATGTATAAAGCATTCATTTATTTCCTGGGTCTTTTGCTACTAAAAATTTCATTTGGGAAACCACATTTACCCACTGCTTCCTGACTGGTACTTTGTTTGCTAGCTTACCAGTTTCCAGTCACACCTTTTAAACCCTTGAATCACACATTGAAACCTCCAAGGTTCCCTATCTCAGTTTGTGGTGGCGCCGTTTCCTGCCCCCAGCTGAAGCGAAAGACTGGGAAGGGAAACTGCATTCCTTGGGGGAGAAAAAGCTCCCAGCCAGGTCCCCACTTTACTAGTCCTAATCTCTACTCTATAGGCCACTGAGCAACACTGAACTTCCAGTCCTAATCTCTACTCTATAGGCCACTGAGCAACACTGAACTTC